CATTATAAAAAAATCAGAAAGAATAGACAAATACTATTCATTACATCAACAAACATATGAAGGAAATGCCATACATATAACACAAAATTATGTTTACTTGCATAAAATGCCATAGTACTCATCATTTAACCTGTCCCCTAGTATTAAGTTTAACTTTCTATTTTTAACAACTGGTCTTGAATGCTTCAACCGGTCACTGAATGCTACAATCTGCAATTTGAACTATAAAGTAATGCTCTTGAATATATCTGAATAAACAACACTGTTGGTCATAGATTTGCAATCATATGTTTGCAGAAATAAATGTAAAACTATTAAAGTATTATAACATTTTATAATAAAATTTTCCTTATAAGCATTTAAATGACTTTTCAATACATGCTATTTGTGTTTTAATGACCTTTTTTGCCTTTTTTATTAAATAGCTATTGAGTGTACATAAAAATGATTATAAGTTTTTAACCCAAAATTCAATTTTAAGCTTCTAATTTAACTTTTTTATTAGTGTTTCTCTTGGCAACATCAAGTACTTTAAATCAAAAGAACTAAATTTTTTAAATTTAGAAAAAATAATAAATCCATTATAATGAGGGAGGGGAGGGGGAGGATTGTTTTAAAATACTTTATTGATGAATAAACATAATAAATTTTTGTTAAAGTTAAAATAAAAAGGATTATATTTACTAATTTTTTTAATGTGTATTTTATTTTATCTATTTTAATCTATACTTTTAAGAGGTTAAGACATGCCATTTTTTAATTTAAATAAAGCAGAGCTGTAGCAACGAGTAGCATATAAGTAATTAAAAAAATTTTAAAATGATTACAATGCAAATTTTTTTTCACTTTATCTCTAAGTTAATGAAACTGCTTTAAATAACAATCAACTTACATTAAAATCATTTTTATTAATATTATATCTTTTCTTAAATACATTCCATATAAAAGATGACGAGTTTTTAGTTAGGTTATCGGTTGGAAAGTCTGATACACCCAAAGCTAAAAATAAATTTTTATTATTTTACAACAATAATAAATAAACTTTTTCAGAAAAAACATCAATAACAATAACATCAATAACAATAATAGTGTAATTTTTGATGCAAGAGAGCAAATGGGCTCACACGTTATAGTTTACAAATAAAACATTTATTTATATGTAAGCAAAGATCATTCTCACTAAATTGTTTTGTTAAGTTTACAGCTGCAAGAGAATCATAGATATGCAGTTAATTATGTCATCGGAATTTATTGTTCTTGCCTAAGTTAGCCAACTGGATGAAAACTAAACTTGTTATAAATATTGGCGACTCTTTATTCATGGGTTGAACTTATTAGCTGTAACTTCAAAAAAAGAAAAGCATTTTGAAACCTATTGATAATGTTAAAAGGCCAAAAACCGAATGAAATGCTAAAACTGCCCAGCTATATTGTTATTGATGTTATTTCTTAAAAGTATATTCTAAAAACATATCATAGTTAAATGTACATTAACATACTGATAAAATATTCTACACAAGTGTACAATACTTTATTAGTATGTTAATATACATTACTTTGGAATGACTAGGAGACAAATGCATTGCTAATTGTTAGAGTATCATGCATTATTTATTATTAAATTGAATTTATTTAAAACATGAATAAAATACTTGTACTTATTGAAAAAAAATCTTTTCCATTTATTCACGATATTCGGAGATACTTTTTATCTTTGAATCTAACCATTTTTTAAATTCACCAGACCTTATCTTAGTGTGAAAAAATTAGTTTTGGCTGGTGCATTGCCAGGTGTTAGCATTAATTGTCACACTTGGTCTGGGTATACTCTTTAAGCATTTGAATTCATTTATTTGTCATAATATGTTTGGTCTGGGCCAAGATTTAAATGAAGATTTAAATGCTTTGACTAATTATTTGTGCTTTTTTATAGCTTTTTGTTTAATCATCTTTCTTTTTTTCTTAAAAATTTTTCCTCTTTAAAAGTCTGCAATTACGTTTATACCTTTTTCTCATTATCCATTACAGATATAAATAAAATTTTTTATATATTTGGATTTATTTATGCAGCCTGTATTAAGACTACTGAAATCAGTTTTATTTAAAATTTCAAAACTGCTTCACTTGCCAAAGTGTATATTAAATAGGAATCATTTTAAATAGTCATATATCTATTTTATATCAGCCTTTATCGTTGTTATAGTTAAATTATATGAGTACATGAAATTGGTTGGTTCTAGTAACACCAGGGATGTCGAGCCTTTTAAGAGAGTTTTAGATTCAACTTATCATAGCTTATCTTACTACTAACTTGAGGCTGAACAAAATAATTATAATTTGATTTGGAAAGTTTAATATATTTTATCTTATACTTATTTTGTAATTTATGTTATTTTTAATCTCTTACTATTTTAAAATCTTCACATCTTTTATAATCTCCTGAATTCAGGCAAAAATGGAATATTTATTATCTTTTCTTGGAATTAAGACAAGTCTTGTT